CAAAACAGGTTGCACATTACAAAATTCGGAACACGGAAACAAGAAGCTCGCCTTTTTTCCCTATTTCGGTTTGGCCCTTTCGATTTCCCCTCCCCCACCGGGGCGGGACTTCCCGCCGACTTCTTTCAGGTTCTCAGTTCGGTCCGCCAACTGTCTTATAAAGGCGCTGCCTCAGGCCAGAGTCCTCACAAGGCGTTGTGTACGACTCGTCTTGCTCATCATGTCTGGCCGCGGCAAAGGCGGGAAGGGTCTTGGCAAAGGCGGCGCTAAGCGCCACCGCAAGGTGCTGCGTGACAACATCCAGGGCATCACCAAGCCGGCCATCCGGCGCCTTGCTCGCCGCGGCGGCGTGAAGCGCATCTCTGGCCTCATCTACGAGGAGACCCGTGGGGTGCTGAAAGTCTTCCTGGAGAACGTGATCCGGGACGCTGTGACCTACACGGAGCACGCCAAGCGCAAGACGGTCACCGCCATGGATGTGGTTTACGCGCTGAAGCGCCAGGGTCGCACCCTCTACGGTTTCGGTGGCTGAGCGTCGTCATTTTCTATCAATAAAAGGCCCTTTTCAGGGCCCCCCTACTTTCTCAGCTGAGGAGTGGTAACACTGGATTTGGTAGGGCTGGAATTTTGCTTGCTTCTAAGTCAGTTTTGGGGCGAGCAGTTTTCTGAAGACAGCGGCACACATGGTCATTCACCCGCGGTCACCGTTGGTAGAACTAATTACGAGTTGTAATGCAGTCTAAATTTGCTCAGAATTTATAAGCTTGTTTACGTAATCGGGAATGTGCAGTACCAGTAACTCTTGTAGTCCCTGTAGTGAGCTTGACAATGATCATCGGAAATCGTTTTTGAAAAACCCCTAAATCCGCAAGTGTTTTTTTTTTATTTTTATTTTTGTCAGCGAGTTGGAGTGCAGTGGCGCGATCTCCGCTCACTGCAACCTCCGCCTCCTGGGTGCAAGCAATTCTGCCTCAGCCTGCCGAGTAGCTGGGATTACAGGTATGCGCCACCACACCCAGCTAGTTTTTGTGTTTTTAGTCGAGATGATGTTTCACCATGTTGGCCAGGATGGTCTCTATCTCCTGACCTCGTGATCCGCCCGCCGCGGCCTCTTAAGAGATTATAAGAGAATTTTTTACTTTTCTCCACTTTCATTAACGTATGACAAATTACAACATGTACAATCTGATCTGACATACATTCATTGTGGAATGATTACATCGAGCTTAACATCCATCTCACTTTCTGGTGAGAACATTTAAAGCTTACTATCAGGAATTTTCAAGTATAAAGTACATTAACTATTGTCACCATGCTTTAAAATAGATCTCAAGAATTTATATCTCTTGAGTCCCATTATACCTCCATCCTCATTCTCTGGCAGGGACCATTTTACTGAGTTCAACATTTTTAGACTCCTCATGTAAGTGACATCATGCTGTTTTTGTTTTTCTGTGCCTGGTTTGTTTTACTTAGCATAATGTTGTAAGAAATGACAAGATTCATTTTTTTAAGGCTGAGTAGTATTCCACTGTATATATGCCCCATTTTCTGTATCCATTCATCTGGCATTGGATACTTGATTTATTGAAAGAGCTTTATAAGTTTAAATTCATAAATGAAATCCAGTGAGTAAAGCTTTTTTTTTTTTTTTTTTTTTTTGGTGAGGCTCAGTCACTCGTTATGATCATGAAAATGATGGATGTGTAATTGGTGATATCAAAAGATCTGGAA